GCGCGTCCCCCCCCCCCCCTCCCGCCCCCCTTATCCCCACCCCAAATTTGGGGTCCCCCCCGAGCCCACCCCGGTTTTGGGGGGGTTTGGGTGTCCCTGTTGTTCCCCACCCCCGTGTGTGTCCCCCTCCTCCTCCATGATCACTCAGGACTTGGGGAGCCCTCCCTAAATTGGTGTCACCTCACCTCGTGTGTGTGTCCCCCATGTCTGTCCCCCCCGCCCTTCGTGTCCCCCCTCCCGGGCTCCCCACACCCCTCCAAGCAATAACTGGAGCCGCCGGACGCGCCGATGGCGGAGGACGACGGCGGAGGTAGGGCCCCAGCCGGGTGTCCCCTCTGTCCCCCTGTGGTGGCACCGTCACCCCAAAAGAGGGGGACAGGGGGGGAAACCGGCCCCACTCTGAGGCCAGGCTGCGTTTCCATGGTAACGGGAGCAGGCCTGAGCCCCCACTGCGAGGCCAGGCTGCGTTTCCATGGTAACGAGAGCAGGCCTGAGCCCCCACTGCGAGGCCAGGCTGCGTTTCCATGGTAACGAGAGCAGGCCTGAGCCCCCACTGCGAGGCCAGGCTGCGTTTCCATGGTAACGAGAGCAGGCCTGAGCTCCTCACTGTAAGGGCAGGTTGTGTTTCCATGGTAACGAGAGCAGGCCAGGTACTATGGCAAGACCAGGCTGTGTTTCCATGGTAATGGGAGCAGGCCAGGTACTGCTGCAGGATTAGGCTGTTTCCATGGCAACAAGATCAAGCCAGAGTCCTCACAACCAGGCCAGGCTGTGTTTCCATGGTAACGGGACTAGGCCCGGCCCTCACTGTGGGATCAGGCTGCGTTTCCATGGTAACAGGAGTAGGTCAAGCCCTACTGTAAGGCCAGGCTGTGTTTCCATAGTAACGGGAGCAGGCCTGAGCTGTACTGCGAGGCCAGGCTGCGTTTCCATGGTAATGGGAGTAGGCCTGAGCTGTACTGCGAGGCCAGGCTGCGTTTCCATGGTAACAGGAGCAGGCCTGAGCTGTACTGCGAGGCCAGGCTGCGTTTCCATGGTAATGGGAGTAGGCCCGAGCCCTCACTGTGAGGCCAGGCTGCATTTCCATGGTAACAGGAGCAGGCCTGAGCTCTACTGTGAGGCCAGGCTGCGTTTCCATGGTAACGGGAGTAGGCCCGAGCCCTCACTGTGAGGCCAGGCTGCATTTCCATGGTAACAGGAGCAGGCCTGAGCTCTACTGCGAGGCCAGGCTGTGTTTCCATGGTAATGGAAGCAGGCCTGAGTTGTCACTGCGAGGCCAGGCTGTTTCCATGGTAACAGGAGCAGGCCCGAGCTGTACTGTGAGGCCAGGCTGTGTTTCCATGGTAATGAGAGCGGGCCTGAGCTGTCACTGCAAGGCCAGGCTGCGTTTCCATGGTAACAAGAGTGGGCCTGAGCCATCACTGCGAGGCCAGGCTGCATTTCCATGGTAACAGGAGCAGGCCTGAGCTCTCACTGCGAGGCCAGGCTGCGTTTCCATGGTAACAGGAGCAGGCCTGAGCCCTCACTGCGAGGCCAGGCTGAGTTTCCATGGTAACGGGAGCAGGCCTGAGCCCTCACTGCGAGGCCAGGCTGCGTTTCCATGGCAATAGGACTAGGCCAGAGCCCCCAGTACAGGCCTTGCCCCCTTTGGGGGGGGCCGGGACCCCCCCAAACCTGTTCTCCCCCCCCGGGGGGGTCCCTGGGGGCGGCAGTTTGGGGGTGGGGCCCCCCTGGGCGCCCCACCCCCGACCAGCATGTCTGCATGTCCGACCCGCCGGTATTTATTGTTATATGCAAAAAAAAACCACCCCAAAACCCCCTGAATCGACCCAAACCCGCCCTCCCC